GTGGCAGGGTGGTCATAACGCAATCCCTTCTCCTCCCTTCTCTCAGGATTTTAGGCATGCACTCACACATTCCCAGTGTGAGTTTCAAACCTCTAGGTCCAGGACTCAAACCACAGCTAGCCATGGGGAGTCCACATGGGAGTCCAGCGCCTTAATCACTACCTCACCTGCTGGTCCCACATTTTTACTTTTGATAATTCATTGTTTTCTTAAAATAGTGATTTTCTTTTTTTCTTCTTAGGTTTTTGCTATAGGGAGTGTGCACTCGCCAAAAAGACAGAGAGAGACAGAGAGACAGAAATCAAGAAATCACCCCCCAGAGGAGATGGCCACGCTGCAATCCCTTCTCCTCCATTCTCCTCTTGGGATCTTGGGCATGCATGCACACGTCCCGGCATGAGTTTAAGCCACCGGGTCTAGGACTAGAACCACGATCCACTACATGGGAGTCCAGCGACATAGCTATTATGCCAACTGCTGGTCCTAAAATAGTGCATTTTTATAATCTCTTGTTCCTTACTCATTTTTCTCTATTCCCATCTTATTTCTTCAATAACTTTAGATTCTTTATCTGATTATTCTAAACTCTGATGTTCTTAGAAGTTTAAGCTGTTGATTATTGTTCCTGCTTAATCTCTCTCGTGGTAGTTTGAATCATTATATACTTAGTAATATTTTTGTGAGTTTATATTTGGTTGAATTTAAGTCAGCAGCCTGTAGGTAGAATGCTTTGACTTGTTTCTGCTGGACTGTATGGAGCAGTCGTAATCCGGAGTCACTTAAATTTTTCATTTTATGATTTACTTTAATAAAGGAAAAGGAAAATTTCAACCACATAGTCATGTGAAAACAGGTTCCATGTGGAAACTAACATTTTTATTAATTTTAACATATAATGCTGCAGCTTGGACAGGTTTCTTCATAATTCCCCACACAAATGGGTGAACATTTCTCTTTAGACTAAGAATGTAGCTCTGGGACCAGCAGGCGGCGTAATGGTTATGTCACTGAGCTTCCACGTAGTCAACCTGGTTTGAGTCCTGGACCGGGTACCTTAAAACTCGTGCTGGGCATGTGTGCCCAAGATCCTGAGAGAAGAGTTGAGGAGAGAGGACTGCAGAATGGCCATCTCCCCGGGGGTGGGGGGGTGATTTCTTGCTCTCTGTCTCTCTGTTTCTATCTCTTCAGCAAGTATACATGCCCTATGGCAAAAATCTCTCAAAAAAATAAAAAGGAAAAAAAGAATATAGCCCTTTTGAGGGCCCCAGTTTTATGGGGGTGGGGGGGCAGTCTCAGATTCAGCTCTCCCATCTTCCTAGGTTGCAGGGCTTACTCTCTGGTTCCTCCCAACCCCCACCCCATAGCAAGCCCTAGGTCTCTCCTTAGTTAATCTCTCTGCTTGCTTATTGTCTACTTTTTTATATTATTGTTCTATTTTGTTATTGTCAAGGGGATACCCTTGGAGGATTGCTTTTTTTTTTTTTTTTTTTTGGGGAACCTTTTAAATAATTAAAA